GATTGTCTTGCAGAGTTTTCAAGTAATGGATGAATGTGAACATGTTGGCTTTAAATGATACTAAGGTCGAGTTGATATGGTTTACATCTACCCTCGCCCAGGGCCGCAGTTATTATTGTGGACATATTTGCTGAGGCGACCCTGTTATGTTTGGCCAGGAGGAAACAATTAATTCTGCACATGGGCAGAAGGCTTTGTACTTGCTCTGCAGTACCTCAATGAGAGCTGGGCTTTGCGCCAATATAATTAACACTTGTCATGCAACCTGCCTTGTCTTGTCTGTCTGCTAAAGGGCTGTTTTATTGTCACGAATGAGCAATTCACTATCTTGTTTACTGTCAAGGGGACTTTGCAGGGACTTGCTAAGTGACTGTGCCTGAGTAGTTATGCAAACATTTACAAGCCATGTAATCATCCTTGAGATTTCAGTACAGGGTGACATCAGACCAAAATGATCGTCTACTTATCTAGAGATGTATCTGCGAATATCTGTGGAAAATCAATCTGTTGCTCTCAGTGTTCATTCTAGGATGCGCCCTTGCGTCATTGGCGCAGAAAAAATTAGGTTGACGCAATACGTAGTGTGAGCTGCGCCAACAAAATTCAAGAGAATTAACAGCGACGCATTTTTGTGTTCTAAATGCGCCCTCCAATTTGGCAAATTCACGACCGAAGTTTGATTGTTTACTCGACATCTCTTGACATCAAGATCTTATGTTAGACGTAATGAAGATATTCTTTGCTCGTCGCAGTTTTTAACAAGTATCTTAATTTATGCAAATCAGTGGCGATCGCCCCTCCTTTCTTGAATCCCTGATAGGCTGAGATTAATTGTCCATGTAAATCAATTGATCAACCCGTACATTGTACATGATGGCGGAGAAGAAGCAAGTGTTATTTTAAGTTTTTTTAAGAAAGTCAATCCCAAAGATCACCCTAAAACGGATCAGAATAGTAGCGACGGAGACAATGATCATACACAGCAGACATTTCCAGCGGAGAAGAGAGCTAAAGTAGATGTATGTGCTGCTGTCACGACTTCTGATACCGCGTCAACTAGCAATGCAAGGTCATTCCAAAAAAAGTGGAGAGATACTTACAAGTGGCTTGTATACGACAATAACGCAAACTTGATGTATTGCAGCTTATGTGTTGAAAAAAAGAAGGACAATATATTTTTTCAATGGACTAATAACTTTCGAACCAGTACCCTTATGCGCCATGAGACATCTGCTGACCTCAAGCTTGCCATACAAGAAACGTCGGAATCAGCTCAAGCTAAACAGGCTTTTTGCAGAGCTTTAGAAGGTAAGATATTATTTTTTGTCAATATTTATTTGTAACACGGAGCATGAGCCATCAAAGTGACACTAGTGTATGTTGTTGATTATCGTGACGGTCCCGGACCCACGTGTTGTAGTTATATTTGTGTAGGTTGAAGAACTCTAGAAAGTGCATTCTGGGATATCGCAATGCTGAACAACTATGTAAACAATGCGTTTGCTGTGTAGCATTGACACAGGGCATTATGCTCATGTTTTTTCCCTGAACATTATTTTTTGTATATATATATATATATATAGATAAAATTTTCACATTCATTTTTATGTACAGACACAGATGTGTCTGTACATATAGCTGTCACCTGCGTCTGTCGTCGCCGTCGCCGTGCACTCAGCGATAACACGATAAGTGGAATACCGTTTTACATTTTGTATTCAAATTTACAGAACTGATGAATATTCATAATACACAGGTCAAGTTCGAAAATCAGCATGATCGGGTCACTTTTAGGGAATTTATGCTGTTTTTTCACTTTTTTCAGCATATATGCAGCACCGATAACATGATAAGTGAAAAACCATTTTACCTTTTGGCTTGAATCTTACAGAACTGATGAATATTCATAATACGCAGGTCAAGTTCGAAAATCAGCATGATTGGGTCATTTTTAGGGAATTTATGCTGTTTTTATGTATTGCCATCACCTGCGTCTGTCGTCGCCGATGCTGTCGCTGTGCACTTTCCTTGTAAACATGATAAGTGGAGGGCAGTTTTACTTTTTANAAACTATGTAAACAATGCGTTTGCTGCGTAGCATTGACACAGCAGACTTTACGAAAGGCGTCGGACCGTCGGACATGCCTGGCAAATTTCGTCACGGTCCGGTAAAAAATCCTGTATCGTCGGACCTTATGTCCGGCGAGTTTTCAAACTGACTGAGAATGTGTAAATATAAGGATTACGTTGTTGTTTCCTTTCTGGACGATATATTTTACTTCATTCGAAAAGAGAGACGGGGTGAAAATCTCGGGGAGTTCCCAGCTATTATACATAATTTATTAACCTCAGTTTCACTCACAAATACTATTTTGTGACTGGCTGAGGTTGGGGAATTCCTGAATGATGTAATGTACAGTCTCGTTTTCGTTTTCGTAATACTACACAACAAAATGGCCGCAACACATGTGCTTGTGTTAATTTGCGTTTTTACAGACTTGATCCTCTGTTTCTTCATTATCAGTCGTACATAGTACTCATGGATAAGCCTTTTGCTTAGAAAATGACGTTATTGAACTTTAAACACTTCGTTGGTGCAAAGCGTGGCAAAAATGAAAACGAAGTGAGGAAGAGAAACGGAAGTTTAATAAAATTGGAAAGAAGGTAGGCCCTGGCGGACTTATGATCTGTAGGAGAGGAAAATAGTGTGTGCCGGGTGTCAGGAGTACTAAAGTTATCATTTTGATCAACAGCAATGTTACAGCTTTATTACAGTTTCCTAGATTATGGAACATACGTACGCATTTGCATGTTCATCACGAGTTGGAGAAAGTGCACATGAACTTGATGAAAGCTCACAGTTTGAGTTTCTTTTTATAAAAAAAATAAAATGAAGAAGGAACTTAGACTCGGACTGGACAGTGGATGAAAGAGACTGTCTTACTGTGCTGTTTCAAAATGCATATGTTATTGCCAAAAACAACGTGTGAAATGGTTACTGATTAACAGACGTTTTTATGGACAAACATTTGATATTACTAGCTACGCATTCTTCATACTTGTAATGTTTTTAGTCCTTGTGTCATTCAACAGCGTCTTTTTCATTAAATAAAAAACAACTTGTTATGCAAGTAATTTTTTGCCTTTTTTTTGTTTTGTTTTTCCTTCTTATCTTACTTTTTTTTACGAATAAATATATATAAAAAAATTAATATTTGATTTAATGTCAATGATTTAAAACATTAGAATATACACATAAAAACATGAATAATGGTTTATATTTCTATTATTTTACTTTGGTCTGACAGATTTTGTTTCGGTCTGACAGAATTTTTCAAGCTTGTCAGACAGAATGTCTGACAGATTTTTTGGCCTTTCGTAAAGTCTGCACAGGGCGTTACGCTCATGTTTTTTCCCTGAACATTATTTTTTGTATATATATAGATAAAACTTTCACATTCATTTTTCATAATTTTAGTGTGTCGAGAGATTTGGTCTCTGTTCATGGTGATTAAGGGAAAAATAAAGTAAGGGATTGTGTGCTGGAGTAATGTTTGCAGGTACCTTCATATGTACCATATGCTTTTGTCCATCCTCAGCATTGTCACAGAGCTATGTTTACTCTTCCAAAAGAAAGATCTTGACCCAGCCTTGGTGGATGTTAATGTGAAGCATGCATTGAGAGAACTGCAAAAGCACAGGGACCATGCCACAAGTAGTGAAGGGTTGTCTAGTAAACCTGGCAGCTACATCGAGGAATTTCTCCTGAAGGTGGGTACAGGTCATCGTAATTTTTCAGGGACCACGTTCTGACTTGTTGTGCTAATTATGAAAAACAATGCAAGGCAATTCAGTGTCAATTTATTGACAATCTCATTAACAACATAAATGCCAGATTTCCCCAGGATCACTTGGATATGGTAACAGCATTTGGGTATTTGAGCATGAGACCACTAAGCTTTTTGTCTGAGTCAGAAAGAGAAAATTGGGGTGAAGTCCCTATACAGAAACTTGCTAGCCATTATGGTAACATTATTGAACATCATGGGTCCAAATCAGTGCCAATAATAATTGAAAAACAAGGTATGAGTGAATGGTCTAAACTCGAAAAATTGGTTTTCAGAATGGGGTATGCGAGCGATGCCACCTGCAAACTGTGAGCATTATCAAAACACACCATAGTGAAGACTTTCCCAATTTGTTGAAGCTGGCTGCAATCTCCCTCATCCTTCCGATACACACTTTGTAGGTATCAAAAAAGGGACAGATTCTCTTAGTGATTTTTATGTACAGACACAGATGTGTCTGTACATATAGCCATCATCTGCGTCTGTCATCGTCGCCGTCGTTGCCGTCATGCACTTTTACCGATAACACGATAAGTGGAAAACTGTTTTTTATTTCAGCTTGAAACTTACAGAATTGATGAATATTTATAATACGCAGGTCAAGTTCAAAAATCAGCATGATTGGGTGACGTGTAGGGAAGTTATGCTGTTTTTTCACTTTTTTCAGCATATATGCAGCACCGATAACACGATAAGTGGAAAACCATTTTACTTTTTGGCCTGAAACTTACAAAACTGATGAATATTATTAATCCACAGGTCACGTTCGAAAATCAGCATGATCGGGCCATTTTTAGGGGAGTTATGGTATTTTTTCACTTTTTAAACATATATGCAGCACTGATAACNACCAATTTGTTGAAGCTGGCTGCAATCTCCCTCATCCTTCCGATACACTCTTTGTAGGTATCAAAACAGGGACAGATTCTCTTAGTGATTTTTATGTTTGTGATATCATTCAATCTGGTAGCTTTTTATGTGCTATCTCACCTTATATAATTAATTAAATTTCATGTTTTTTTTTTTATAAATTGAAGCCAGAAATGGTTTTAAAATCTTGTTTTAGTAAGATTTTGGTTATTGGTGAAAGAATCATCAACATATTTCAGTGTAATCTTATATTTGTAAACAAAATTTCTAGCGTGAAGTCTCTTATTTTAGAAAGTTGGGATAACCTATTGAATGTGAACCTGCAAGTCAAAATATTATTTTTATGATATAAAGTATTTTTGATCTCTGAATATTAAAACCACAGCAGTAAAACACGTGTTACATATTATTATTTAAAGATTTGAAAAAGGGCCCACTTCAAAATGTAATGACCCACTTCTTTTTATGATAGGGGCCCTTTGTTCCATATTGAAACATTCCTAGAATGAATACTGCTTATAACACAGATCAATAAATTCTACACATCCACCTAGAAACTTTTCCTTGAAGACATACCTGTTGAATCTGGGGAATCTTTCAGCAAAGCAGCATACCTATGCAGGCAGGTGACCACAACTTCCAGTAGACCAACCTCACGAAACACATCCTTGTAGACTTTATGGTACCGTAGGATTTTCAGAAGGCTCTTCATACATAACACACTGCACTGGATTGAGCTGAAACATGTACATTTGGAATAAAATATTATGAAGTGAATAATAAATGTGTTTCATATAATATGCGATTGGTAACCTATTACTGATTTCAGACAATACCTTGCACAATTTGTAGTTTCTATTTAAGAGGATATTGTTGTTTAGGCCACACTTTTTTATTTTTATGGATGACATCCTGTGCGCGCACCCATTTTCGTCCGTTCTCTAAAAAAAAAAAAAAAATCCCCCCTCTACCAAGGAAGTCGGTTGTCGCAAACGTCGTTATTGAATTTGCCGGAAAATGAAATCGGCAATCCTCGGCTAATTCCGCAATTACTGTACTGTCATTGTCGACTGCGGAGACATCCGAGTAGTTCCGAGTGCAGAAAATGAGCTTTCTGCGCATGCGTATTATCGCCACGTGGTAATATGGCCCCTTTGCCGTCAAATTCATCTCCAGGGTTAATTTAAAAAACACGACAATTAAAGTCTTAAAGAGAACGGGGGCTGTCGTTTTGGATTGGTTTGCCATTGATATTGGACATGGAGATATCACCTTTTTACAATTATACGAAAGGCTGGCCACGGCCAGTGATTATCGCCCGGAAAATTTCAGTGACATTCTGTCCAAAGCAGCACATACCAGGTTTTTTTTTTCGTAGCGAAAAAAGGGTCGACAAGAGCGTCGTGGTATTTGGTGGACTGAAGGTCGGACAGGCCAGCCGATAGTTTGGCTGCTACGTGTGAGTCGAAGTAGACAAAATGGCATTGACCGAAATTACTTTTTTTTAGATTTGGTAGTATTAAGCATAGGCCTATCTTTGCTTCATTTTTTAAACAATGCTGTGAAGTCTTCACAATGCTTTGATTTTCTGAGAGTACAAATAAAGACACGCTGTTTTTTTGATATTTGTTTTGTTGATTGCTATACCAACAGAATGCATGAAATAACCTTAAATAGATTTGGTAATATGCAGCATATATATTCATGACTTTTTACCTTTCTACGAAGTAGGCCCTATTCACAATGCTTTAATATTTTGAGAGCATGGATAAAGACATGTTGTTAGTTTGATACGTGTTTCTGTGGTAAATTAGTGATTCCAGCTGTGTACTGAAAACATAACTTTTCTTAAGCAGTTTTTATTTTTTTTTTTTTTTTTTTGGGGGGGGGGGGGGACTGTTTATTTATTTTTTCTTTTTTTTCTCGCCCGCTCGCACCGATTTTGGGGTCCCCAGAGGATGTCATCCATAAAAATAAAAAAGTGTGGCCTTACAGTTTGTCTGCAGATGCTGACAACATTTAGTTTATTTCATTAATTTATATTTACTAATCCCAAAAGTATATGATAAAATGAAATTGCACCAATCTGTTCATGCGATGTTAATGCACAATACCACATCTAAACATTTTCATCTTATGGCTAATAAACAAACAATTATAGCTATCATGCAAAAAAAAAAAAAAAGCTTTGATCTTATTGTTTGCTCATTAGTTGAAATTTATATATCTAAGTCAAGTTAACAAACTCACTTCTGTGTTTTGAGTAAAATGCTGATGCTTATGAGTTCTTTACAGGGTACAAAGTTCAGATTGAAGCATATGAACTCCATGATTTCAAAAAACTTTTGCTGAAAAATAAAAAAAAGAAACAATAAAACAACCAGGATAATGTTCATCATTATAGTCATTTGACGTGAAGGAAAACTGATTGATTCAATTCTAACAACATAACCAAATCATTGACTGATATCTGTGAACAAACATAAACAGTAATCATCTTTGATTCTATACATCTTCAAGCACAAGGTATGGTTTCAACACAGTCCATAAACTGATGTAAAAATTCAGTCAATCCCGTTATTCCCAGGAAAAAAGTCACTACATTTTCTTTAATCTCTATTGGATTCTTCCTCCCCTTTAATTATTATTTTGCACTTCACCTAATTAGCTAAGCAAAGATTGTCTCTTTCAATATTTTGCAACCTAAGTAACAACATCTGGAGATGATGACGAGTTGACAACACAACGATGATGACGATGATGATGATGATGTAGATGACAATTACCTGGATGTCAACTGGCTTTAGATGGACTTTCTCAGCAAACTGTGACAGTGTGTGCTGTGGCTCCAGTATGAAGTAGTTGGCACTGTCCTGGTGATAGATACTACTGATCACATCCAGGATGATACTACACAGGTGACTGCTGCTGGCCTGCAAGATGAAACGGACCACAGTTTCCTCTTTTATATCATTCCATACTATGCATTTTTAGTTTTAACCACTTATTTTGTTTTTCTGTTCTTCTCATTTTTTCTTTTGATTTTTATAAATATATCTGGTTGAATTCCATGTTACTAATTTTAAAATTACAAAAAAAAAAAAAAAAAAATTCACTGAATGTTTTACAATATGTAGTATAATCTTTAATATTTTATGTTATTTCAAACAATATAAATGTCATGACGCTATAGTAAACTGATGACATTTCATCTTTCCAGGAAATTCAATTTTCATAAAATTTACTTTAGATGACAGTAGATAGTACCCCCATAAATGTCATCAGATGCGATAAACACACACTGCAGTACCTTGAGTTTCAGTATAGTTTTTATATATAAAACAAGATCATAATAGCATACCTGCATATACACACATCATTGCTACATACCCTTTGAAACACTGACTGCAGAACCTGGAAAGCCTGGATGTTTCTTACACTCACTCCTGATTTGAGAAAAGTACAAACATATCATTTAAGAAAAAACCAAAGACATATTGGCTTCAAACATTACACAGGTACATATTACGCCATGCAAAGCAATACATTTGTGAATGGCTAGAGAATTTTTTCTACTATTATCCTACACCCAACAAAATACATGATAGAACTATTAATACATACAGTTAGTCAACTGAAGATTACATTACAACATCAACACACACACACACAGCTGACAGGTTTTACTGCATTTTTTTCATTATTGAATGTTTTTTTTTTTTATTATAAATGAATATGAATACAAAATATATATTTATGTCACTGAATTAATATAAGAGCAAAAATGTACATGTTATAACCATGAGATGATAGATGCACAGCAAATGAAGAAAAAAAAAACTCCACTAAAACTTCATACTTTCACAAGTCGGACACAATAAATACAACCAATAATAAAAGCACACCTTCGTAAGTAATATATTATGATATATTAGTTCAGGGGGAAATAACCATGTCAAGCTTTGGCAAACTATTTGCAAATAAATAATTTCCTGGTTATTATTTTTTTTCTCATGACTTAACCACAAACCAATTAAGTGCCGATATCCACCATCATTGTGCACAAACCCTTTCCGAATATCAACCAACGGCCATTTTTTTAGTCTTCCTTTCCTGCATGCTTTTGAATTATTTTCCCTAGTTATACCCAAACAAGTCACCCAAGCTTGAAACAGGTCCCTATTTGACATGTTTTAGTACCAGACAAACTCAATTCCACCACAGTTTCCTATTGCAAAAACTCAGAGGCCGTTGAAGAAGATAAGTACAACTTGCAGTAAATCATGATGTCATTTAAAAAACCCTCAAAGATCCCATCATGAAATATAAGAAATTAACATAACTTTTCATGGATACAAAGCAACACAGCTTTCTTTTCATTTTAACCATCTTTCAAATTTTAACATTCGAAAAATTAAAAAAAAAAAAAAAACCAACCCTCCAGCTGTATGTTAGTAATCATGTGTTAAAAACTATAAATCATGATCACCATGCAAATAAATGAAATAATTTATACATGCTGAGAATCCATCATTCCTTTGTAAAGTTCTGAATGATCAACTATTTGAATAAAGGTCATTCTTGGAAAACATTTTCCATCATGCACGCGTTACCATTTTGGCATTTAACAAAAAGTGGCTGATAATCTTTATCAGCAACAAAACAAATGGATCTAGGGTCCGACCCATAGTTTAAAATCATGATTTACTACACTGGATAAGGATTATAAAGGTTCATTCACACAACCATAACTATGTGGTACTTCATCACTTGCCTTGAAAAGCTGGGAAAGGGAGAAGGAGAAAACATTTTAAATTTCACACAACACAAATCATGCACCATGCTTTACTATCAATATGGTATTCAAGTCTTGATAATCACAGTATGCTTGTCAGCATTATAGGATTAAGACACCAAGTTACAACAGTGTAAAAGAAATCTATAGATATATTGCCACAAAATATGAAGAAATCCTCAAATTTTAATACCACTACAACAGTAACAACAGTATACAAAGAAAAAAATACATTCACATTATACAGTTTGCTCGTTCCTCCTCAATACTACACAATTATTTCTTGTGAATGTCAAATAACATAAGTCTTCAATCTTTTGGTTCAGTAAATGAGACTCACACCATTCCATTTTCGCTATATTTTCAATAAGACTTTGATGGATTGTGTGGTTTAGTGGATCAATAATATTAATAACAACAGTGATGATTTGTCAGCTAAAAAGGCAAGGACAGGCATTCACCAAATGGTAACTACACATTTTTAATAACATCACTGATACCAGCAGCAGAACCAGAAGCCTTTTAAAGACTGCCCTCTACAAATGTCACCCTGAACGAGTAAAAATAAAACATGACTTTCACCGTCCAACTTTTAAGAAAGACTAAAAATGTCTGTTTGTAAAATGTTTCAGAAATGAGCCCAAAATAACTGTCCTAGATCCCCAATGTTTCTTAAACTGAAGTACTCTGATCTATACTGGTATCAATGGTACTCTAGCCTCTAAATCTTATATTAATAACCATACACATTACACATTAAGAACAGCTGAGTAAACACTTATATATTATGTGCAGTCTGTCAATGCAAACATTCCTAACAGTTTCTTGTAATATAAAAGACATACCTTTCCCTGCTGGTTGCGGTAGAGTAAAACCAGGCATCTGATATAAGGAGCCAGTGCTGGCCTGGGTCGGCTTTAACTCAATGTAACCACATGTAGTTAGTGATCCCATGAGGAGGACCAAGTTCCTTAGGGCTTGCCTGGTCTCCTCGTCTTCATCTTGTTCTAATCTATAGAAATAAAAAATTGACATTCTTATTTTAGTGATTTTTATTTTAAGGTATATATTTCATGTAATGAAATTGTTGATCTAATTATCAATAAGGCAGGAATTAACTGAAGATCTAGAGCACAAACATCCAGGGATCAGCAAAATATTATATGCCACAAGTTCCCTAATCCATGGTTTATGAAAAATAAAATGATAACCCACTAGTTTATATTTTTTTTTTTGTGATTTTCCTTTTTTTAGCACTAAAAATGTTACTGAATCATTAATATCATATATTAAGCCAAAACCTGAGAAATGTTCTATAAGAGATTTACCTCAAAAGGAAGTCTGATAGAAATATATAACCCTGACAAGATCTGAAGTCATCCAGTAAGATCTGTGACACCTCACTGGAGTCCTTCAGAAAGCAGAACACTGTGACAAACATTTCCACTATCTCCAGTGGGGTCAGGTCCTGGTTTCTCTTCATGTTCTCTATACACAAGGCCACACAGCCCTTGGCTAAAAGAAATCAAGATATACAATATTTATACATAAAATTATTGGTAGCAAAGGACTGAGACAATAGAGAATTAACAGATGTAAAACTTGAGCTCATACTCGTAGTAGGTGAATCCTGAAATTAAAAACCTGCGTAACTCATAAAACTTGTGAATAAGGGGTTGGATTTTCATAAAGGTGTTACAAAAATTGCAAAAACATTTATCCAATATAGATTCCTAAGAGCAAATATACTAATTGGAAATCAAAGATAACTGTGACACCACAAGATAATGAGCATATATGACTCTTTTTGAAAGGACTATTTCTGGATCACGATATCACTAGCTTTTTATTAATTCACATCAAAACAGTTGCATTCATTGATACAGAATTACTTACAATGAATGTACTGCACTACATTAGGGGTCAGTCCATGCCTGGAAAGTGTCATAAGGACTTCAGCGGCACTCTTCCTCCATGGCACATTGTGTGCAGGACACCAGCTGGTGATGGCACTGAACAACAAAGTCAGGTCATCTTTTCTGGCCAACTCCTCTGCTGGGGCTGTGTGGCTGCACAGTCGTACAAGCACCTGTGAAGTATCACGTGCTGATTATTAAAAATAGTGTATGCATATTTAAAGGCTAGCATTACTTTTATTTTAGGCATTAAACAACTCCAATCTCCAATGGGAGTCATTAGAGTCTATTGGCACTGCTAGGAGTGCAGGAGTCCACATTAGATGGGGTTAACTTTTTAGTGATTAGGTTAAAGCCCTAAATGCCAGGGTTTGGGAATGTCGTCTTAGAAAGCAATACAAAAATGACGCACAAAACATGGTGAATTTGTACTGTTCTGCAATAGATTGTAATGCTAGAGAAAATTACGTGGGTATAATCTGACAGCTGTTATTCATTACATTTTCCTCCAAATCCCCCGACACCTCGGTTAACTTTATGCTATGTAACAAGACTTTAGCCCTTTTCAGACAATTTCCATTACAGTTTTACAAGAACTATATGCCAGTTTTATCTTTGTATATGTACAATATTTCAAGTTAACAATTTCAAGGGAGCAGAATCATCAGTAGAAATATTTTATATGGGAACCAACCTAATAAATCAATTTTCAGCATAGCAATACTTTTTTTAATGCTTTGAACTCTAAAACTGCCAACAGTCAGAAAAATCTCATCCCTGTTACAATTTACAAAGTAGTTGCTACACAGCAAATTACCTGCACAAATACTTTCTGCAGCAGAATTCTCCTTTCCTCTGATGTAAACTCACTGTGGCTACGGTCCTCAATCTTTGCTCCAGGGAGATCAAAGAACAGATAGAGGCATTTGACCAGTGTGGAAGGAAGGGAAGCTGCTGTCATACAGTCTATTAAACTATGGGCACCGGTACTGAGGAGATTCAGAGTACTCAGCAACATCCAGCCATTGCTGGATTCTTCTGTCGTGTCAATCTCCAAGAACTTGACAATGGCACAACTTGCTGCTTCTGGAAATAAGAATATGTTTCCAAATAAAAAGAGATATATTTTCTGATTAAATATAAAAATAGCTTTAAAAAGCACCCGTCACATAATTAAGTTACAAAGGAAATGTTTGGATATATTATATATATTATGTAAAGTTTCAAATAATTTCTTTTAGCCCATGATTAGCTATTGATGGTGAAGGTAAATCAGCAGTCATGTTCAGCTATAAATGATATCTTAATATCGTAAATAGTAATTATTTGAATCTTTGATTATGTATTATTATTATTGCAGGTTTAATGAAACACTAGAATGCACTTGACATTGCTATTTTATTAGCAATTAAGATATCCAGGTTACACAATCAAAGTCCTTGGGTGTTAACATTTGTTATCACAATAGCAATCTTTGCTAATCTTTTTAAGGACCCCCCTCCCCCCCACAAAAAAAAAAAAAAAAAAAAAAAAAAAAAAGCAGAACAAATGTTCATAATACTATACAATCATATATATTAGAGAAAGTTTACAGAGATTTTATGTTTCTCTGATATTCTACATTTTCGTCCTTGATTTTGTAACGGCAATTTTAATTGGCACTGATAAGATGTAACTTGTAATATCACCACTTGACATATAATATTGACAAATGAATTGTAATATAATTGATTGCATTCAAAGGTCTCCATAAGCAACTTTCCCAGGTTATTTCCACAACCTGTTTACTTTTGTTTGAACTAATAGCACAAGCATTCAGGAGTGACATTCCATCCACAGATTTATCTCTAGCAAATCAATGTTTTCTATTTTTGATAAGAAAGTTAGCTTTATTGACCTCCCCATAGTGCCAAGCCAGTAGCCATTTCATCTGTACCATCAGCATTACCATTTAACAATTCTATTCGCAAAAGTTCACATCAAGAATGCCGTCCTAATGTCCATTGATTTGACCATGTCCAGTTGGAATTGGTATGTTATATTTAATAGGTTGATGAAGAAAATAAGTAGAATTTGCCCTGTGTATCTCTCTCTCTGTGTATGTGTAGGGTGCCATTTTACTGTGGATACTTCTCCTGAATATTGATCACTGCCAGAAAAATCAATGCTGGCGGCCGGAGTTGATATAAGCGCACACTACTTTCCTGATGGAATCAATTTAAGATGCACATTCTAACAGACAGGGATTTTATTGCACTGAAGTGAAACACACTTATCAGAACCCTTCATACAATGAAAAGAAACACATACCATTATGGAGTGTGTAAACCCACGTCTAAAACAATAATAGGTAAAAATGACTTAATTAGCACTAGTTTGAATGGTCTTCTCTTTTGTCTGTTTGGAATTACATATAGTACAGCAGTGTCCCTTATTTTCAATTCAGTTTAGATTTGTGAAATTATTCTAAAACACCATACTCTTTTGTTTTTGTTATATTTTCTAAACTTCAGTAAAATACCTTCCAATTTAAGTAAATTGATATTGTTATGCACAAAACCATTACGTAATTTTTGACATTAAAAAACAAAAGCATTCCCATTACTTCCAAATGCCAAACTCCTACAGACATCCATTAAAAAACATGTAATAAAGTGTCACATGTAATGGGCTACATACATTTTCGCATTGTCATGAAAAGATGATTGCATCTGCAATCAATGTCATTGCATGTTGCATATTAATCATCATCATGGGTATGCAAACATCATAACATTGCATTGCTTCTTCCACTTGATGTATTATCAGATCAATAAGGGTTTTGAAAAACTCAAACAAAAGCAGTAAGATGTTTATGCAATTGTATTAATATAATTACTTATATAACCATATGGTGACATGTCATAATTCATCGATTATTGTACTCAATCTCTCCATTTCTTTCTTTTTTATGATAATAATACTAAACTACGGTGCTGTATATCCTACATTTATAACAAAACTATTCAAAGCTGACATATATAAACTTGCCAGAGGTTATCTTGCAAAACTGGATTTTCAGACACTCAAACTTAGAACAGAGTTTTGCTATTGATTTTGCACCATTTCTTCTCTGAGGTGGTTGAAATGCGATCTGCAGCTTGCATTGATTCCGAGTAATTTGAGAAATCATATCATTTCTGCCCAGACCACAATGCTCCAACTTGGACTGAAATAACCACATGAAGGCGTCACTGTTCTATCTTTTGGGTTATGAAATAGCTTTCTAGATAATTTCCTCATCGTTTTGGGAATCACTAGCCAAAATATAAACTAGACACTCTTTTTCACTGTTTAAAAAATCTAACAAAATAAAAAAATTGTTTTTTTTTAACAAAAGTAATAGTTATGACGGTAAAAAGTTTTAAGCCTAAATTATATAATGTTATCAATACAGGGTGCACACTGTTCTTTAATTTTCTATGATGGTGGTACAAAATATATACTAGTAATCGTTATATTGGCTGGGGCAGATTCTTAAAAGATGTACTTGATGAGAAATTTTTGCCACAAAACCCAACCAAATGCCACCATGTAGTTTCAAATAGTAATAGTAATAGTAAAACACAGGACATTGCTTCATATTTCTCAGAAAATGATATCTAATTAGATAATTTCTGCTTTCTTTCTGTGCCATATATAACACTCAGTCATTTTCAGCAACTCATTTGAATAAATATACAACTGTTCAGTGAGCTACATCCATACATTGGAGTAATTTTTATGCAACGTGCATGTAGTACAATGTCATTTAGCAGACTTTTACAAACTGGAGGGACAGATAAATTGGTCAATTATCATCCAGAAATTTGAAAGAGATGTAGTTTTAAAGCTAAGTTTCGTCTGAACAAGGGATTAATTAGGTTTATGACTTGGCGTATCAACTTAATTTTAATTGTATAAGAACCTACTAGATGCACTTAACTGGGAATCCACGCTTGCTTCAAATGTAACTTTAAATAATCAACATCATTTTATAATGTGCATAATTTAAATAAATGTCTACTGAAAAGGTCCCCTTCATAGTACATGTATAAAAACAATATACCATTTGAAGAGTGCAGACTGATGAAGACCTAAAGACTGAAAATGTCCTATTCCAGCTACCTAATCCCTTCCCACTTCTTCCCAGATTCTAAAATGAAACTGTCAGCCTGTGATCAATAAATCTCCATAAATCAAGCTTTAAAATTGATCTGATAATTGGAACTGTCATTCATCATTATCTCACAGAATGCACCAGTTATATATTTAAGCGGATTTATATACATATATCTTATCTTTCTACCTGCATTGTTTAAATAGTGCAAATTAATTATAAACCATTGGTTAATATGAGTGTTCATCAAGACTTAAAAATGCCAATGCAGTTCCAAGGATCAAATGCATCTGGTAAAATCAGCAAAAATACAAAATTCATAATTCAATTTATAATGGTATGTTGAAATATGCATTTTCTACCCCTGTAAATAATGCAATCACATAAAAGCTGGACATACTCTAACAGGATTACTTGCTTGGTAGAAAAGAAAAATAGAAACCAACGACTCTCTAATATTATAAAGGCATAGCTTAGATAAAACAGTCAAGGAATTTTGTCACATAAAAAACATAACACCAAGAGGAATGCCCCCCTCACCATTTGTTTTGTCATTGTTCAATATCAAGCTACAGTCGTCAAAACTATAGATTACCTTTTGCAAATTTAAAATATGAATTGAATAACATAAAATTTTTGCTTGATAAACTTAAAGTGACCAGGAAACTGCCCTAATATATGCACTTTAGACAGTGAGTCAATTTCTCTCCTTAATATAAACTATTTTTCAGGGGGTCAGGGGGCAGATAAAACAATATAGAGCCAACAGCATTATTATTACTATTAACCCATGACATGGCTATGGCAGGTGACAATTTGTACAAAAGTTCAGCCTATAAATTACTGATAACTGAAGAATATGACCGCGGGCCAAATTCTCTGTGTACCAATTACAATTGATATCAATAAACAACAGATTATAAATAATAATTTTAAAAATCACAACCATCTCCCCCACATTGATATTAGGTATATTTAGATACAAATTACCAACTCCATTATAAATACAGACACATGTAGTTATACCAAGACACCTTATTGGCAAAAATAGGGTGAACATTTTTCTCTCACAATCTCTTTGTTTATACACAGAATTATGCCAATGAATACATAAATGATTGATTAAAAAGTACCTGCTTGTTTAAGTGTTTTTATTAATGTAAACAAACTTTTCAAAAATACATATAAACAGTACTATTTTGGCAGGGCCATGCAAACGGGTGAGATAATGTACATAAACAGACTAGAATCTCATCATCTATCATAATCTGATACTTGTGACAACATCTAATGGCGGATTTGCCTTGAAAGCATTGCTCTGTTGAGTCATCAAGTCAAACTGGCAATTTTGGCAGCAAATTGCAAGCTTTCATTCAAAGGCATAATTCAAATAAACCTACCAATAATTATAAATTAATACTACATGTACTGTTATTCAGTGTTTTTTTAAGCAATTTGCAAATATCTAATACGTTTCAAAGGTTACAAGTATATTGCAAACTGTGTCGTGTTCACAAACAGACACAACATATTCATAGCTATCCAGCTCTGGGAGACATCTATTCCAAATAATCTACATATACAAGACTAGAAAGACACAATCAGGTATTTCCCCACTTTCCCTTTTTAGAATGTAACTGTCAACACCTGCTATCACTTCCATTTGAGTACAATATGATCAAAATTTCATATCATGTAGGATACAAAATATTCAAAACTGATAGCCCAAAATAATTTATCCTCATAATGCAGCATCAGCATTGGTTCTATGCCAGATGTCAATAAAACTGAAGCAAGAACAATAAAATTGTATAAGTTTATTCTGCTATTTGCCAACCTTTCTGATTTGGGACAAAAGACTTACAGCCCCATACTTGAAGGATCAGATAGGCAAAAACATTTTTACCTGTTGATTGGTTGGATGCTCTTCTCCTGATCTCTGTCACCATCAACTTGGACACATGGCTACAAAACTGGAGGATGTCACCAAATTTTTCTGTCATATCATTGGAAGGGGAACCTCCAAACACCTTAAAGGGCCACAAAAACACAAGAATAAATCGAGAAACAAAATTAACAATAGGATATCTTTTTTTGATATTTAGAATTAGGTCACTATGACCCCCTTCCCGCCCTGCCTGACCAGTCCAGCCCTCTGCCAAAATTCAGGTCTGTGTATGTGTATATGTGCACATTTTCTTGTACACTTATGCATGTGTACATATGTGCATGGACGGTAGGTAGGATGGGTGGTCACTAGATTTTAATGGTGAGGATATCTTTTCATTATCTTTGTATTATTTTCCACTTTATATATTCTTACCTTACAAAACAAGGGTAGCATGTTGTATAATTTTTCTTCTTGGTCTTTTGATGTATATGATGTTGACGGATGACGGAACTCAGCAAACAGTTTGCGCAGATGGGTTAGCCCTAAACTGTTGTCTGAGTTGCTCTGGCTAACTTCCATGCCAGGCCGGGCACTCTGCCCTACTAGCTTGCGCATTAAATTCATGCTCCTCCTCCCTTATGTACTTGAATTACATGTCATCCAAATACCTGAAATATAATACATGAGAAATAGAGCAAAATTTACCTGATTTGAGGAATTTTACAAATCAAAATAAATATTTTGCAGTTGAAAATGTTGGGAGAAAATTAAATTTTTGTGTTAAATTTGTCAAATGCTTCAGAGAATAAGAGGTAAATAAAAGCCTCCATATTCAATAGTAAAAGGAGATTATGATTTACTTAGACGTGTTATTATTTGTACCAGGTCTAAAATGAACATCATTTATTTTGTTTCTTCATACAGCTTATGCCTTATTTTTTGTTCCAAATATATACCTTTCCGTACTAAACCTTACTTAAGAATCTCATGATTATATACATACAAATTTTTTTTATAATTAATTTATACAATAACAATCAGTGTTAGAAATTAAGGATGGACCGTCTGCCCTGGGTTGACAACTTTCAGAACAGGATGAGAAGTTTACCCATCCGGCAGACATTCAGTCCAGCTACTTTTTAAGATGGCTGGACCTTTGGTCCAGCAACTAATTTTCCTAAGAGGCAAACACTGATAACAATCATTATTTTCATTTAATGTCTTGGTGAATGTTTAACCATACTTCACTGACAGTAAATTAAATGCAAGAAAGATGATAACAGCATGCTCTTTTAACCTGTTTGCCTCTACATATGACAGAAGAAGGCAAAATTGTGCACCCAGTCATAAAACTCTGGTCAGACCAAAGAGTATGGTGTACCATATGAGTGCAATGTTTTAAGCTAATGCTACAGTTAGGTAGTAACAAAACAGGCAGAGGCACTGTTCGTTTCAATGATCTATGGGAAAAGCAATTTGTATTTATGTCAGCAAAATTATCACCAAAACCTGTTTCCGTCTTCAACACATTTCAGCCATGCAGTACTTAAGGGAGCACAGTAAAATTGCGGCCTGTGTGAAGCGCCAATGCTTCTGCAGCGCATTGCCAAGGAGGCGGTGTTATTACCATGGTTTGGACGTGTATTTTTCATAGTGAGCAATTATGAATTATTACTTTGGCCACATGAAGACTTACCTTTAGAAGAAACTTTCCGTTGAAATATGACAATCATCAAAATATTTTTCGCATCACTTCATTTGCCGGAATATTTACACGTCGAATGAAAAAATTATCCTGCAGGATGCCATATTGGAGCAATTGGTTGCGCATGCGTGCATTATCTCTTCTCAACTACCGCATTCCACAACGTCAATGTAATGCTGGATGGGAAGGGATAATTCTTCATGTTAACATTGTAAATTTTAAATCCACTTCTGATACTTCAAAAAAAAAAAAAAAAAAAAAAAAAAAAAAAAAAAAAATTTGTAAGTCCTTACCACATTTTGCTTTGTCATATGCATATTCTATGACTTAGCAATTTATTTATATGCGAGAGACTGCTTACATTTATGCCTGAAGAATGCTGCTCCTCATTCTTCCCAACTAGGATCCACAATGGTTCTCAACCATTTCTAATTGGTATGAATACATACACTGTTTGTATGTTGATTCGGGAAGCACATGAGCACCTCAAGTTTCCCATCATTTTTCCTGCTAGACATCAAAGTGATACATCTAGTTATAGACAATTTAAACAAATGAAATAAAAAATTAAATCACAAACAGAATACTAATTGTGCCAATTTCCCAAACTAGTCTATAGGAGATAGAAATGTTGGATCTCAGCTTACATTAGTATCAATTAATGAAATTTTAATTTGCATTCTTTAATGTTGAGAAACTATGTGACATGTGCAGCAGAATAATTTCATTTTGTGTACTGTAAATACTGAGTACAATTGTACAAACAACCTCTTGGAACACAACAAGTTTGTAACTTGGGATCACATTTTATTGTGCCATGACAAAACAGTATTACTCCAATTTGGTACATTTACTTTGATAGTTTTCTAGCCATTGTGTCTCTAAAGAACTGGAATATATGTTTACTAGCTTCTCTGCAGTGAATTAAGCATATCTGGAACTGGTCACTAGTAAAACTGCCTGTAGTGTAAGTGGCAATCACCTCAAAATTGCTACTTTCATAAGCAAAAATCATCAAGGCAGTTAAGTCAGATTCCTGTTCAAGAGTGGGATCTAAAATCAATTCACCTTCACTATTTAGCCCACATGTTACTGCTGCCACAAGATACTTCATGTCCACACAGGCATCAAGCATAGCCATACAAACACAGTTGATACACGTGGCCAAAAAAGACCCAGAGTTATGCATTTCTTGGATAACAATATCAATGGCAGTCCTGGGATACAACGTGGCAGCAATGGCAGTCTCACATGTGTTTCTTAGAATCCTCTCTTGGATTTTTTCTTTGCATCCTGGCAAGCCAACTTTCATTTTGAAAACAACTTCCACCGAGGCTTTGTCTGATAGTTCTTTAGCTACCTTCACCTCCCCTGGTCCATAAACTGCTGCTAGTGCACAACAGTCCCCTTGGCTAAAGCTTGCAGAACCATCTGAACGAGAAAGGACACTCACTTCACTCAGCATGGGTCGAAGTTCCATTGGACTGGAAGACCTAGTTCTGAAAAATTAAAATGGCTTCATGTCACATGAACAGGTATCAGGCCTGTAGCCAGGGGGTTTTTGAAAGAACTGCCCTTTTTGTCAGGAAAAGGTCCATTCTGGATACAATTTGATCTAGGTACACATAAGTTTCATTGAAAATGTCCCCTTTTTCAGGAAAAAAAACCTTTTGAATTTGCTGGCCATGGGCCTGTGTTCTACTATGTGGCAATGACTCTTGTCATCTTTTTTAGGCAAATGGTGAAATTTTACTAACTGTCTTCATCGAGGCCTTATAAAAAACTGATCACTGATAATCCCATACATCAATAATGGCCAGAGTAGAATGAATGATATCTACTTTATGGAAATATTTAAGCAGTTTTAGTATCTTTTAGTATCTCATTCAATTCGCCCCTATCCACTTTATTCACTTGGCTTAAACCGATTAAACGTGCTTATACACACTAACATTTTAAACTAGAGGATCAGAGAGGCGATACCGCCTCCGAATATTGTACCACCAGCTGGAGCAAGCGCATTCGTATAGACCCCCACATACACAAAATAAGGGGTGCAGCCACCAGTCTTGTGCTTGACAAGCTGTAAAAATGCAATCAACAAGAATTTTCAAAATATGCAAAAAATATATATAACTAAAAATGGTGCAATCAAAGTTAAGTTCATTGTAAGGTAGGTCAAAGGTCAATTTCAAGGTCACAGTAAATTGCCAGTATATGACTTCCTATCCAACTTCAATAGTAACTATGGACCTATCTCTGCCAGTTTTGGAGATAAAAGGGAAGCAAAATTTGCAAAGTTCAGTTCATGGTGAAAAGTAGGTCAAAGGTCAATTTCAAGGTCACA